TAAAGATGATCTGTATAAATTATGTCTTAAGGGAGTGCTTGCAATATGCTAATAACTATACTTTGCGGTATTAGATAATGCAACTCATCCAGCATCAATCATATCTCTCATCACAATTGTTTGCCTCTTGGAGTAACTATATAGCTTACAGATGCTTTCTTATTTCTCAACCCGTTAAAGTTTCATTATTAGTAGACATAGTAGATCCAAAATCTATGTTGTGCATATTGAGCTGGGCCGGGTCATGGGGTTAGTTGACACGATATGCGTACAGTGGCATAATTTGGTCTGCGCAACACCCTATTTTTCATTTTTTTTCCTTTGGAAGAAGGGAAAAGGTGGAAGGAAGGAAGGAAACTCATATTCGAGATAAATTTATGTAAAGCCTTATTGTATTTCTGCTCAAGTTCTCAGCATTTTCAAGACAGTATCAAGTTTTGTTGGATGTTTGAAGGAGTTAAGTATGTAAAGACTAGATAAACTGCCAACCTCATTTCTTGTTTTCAAGACAGTGACAGTTGGTGGTATTGCTAGATTACTCCTAGAAGGAAGCCAAGCTTCTTATCATTGTCCCCTATCTATTTGTCATTTTTACGATGCTATTCTATTTTTAATTTTAGCATCCAAGGTAGAGATGTGTAATGCTTTATATTAGGCGCAGTGTCCATATTTTCTACTCTTACAGCATTATACAATTTACATGACTGTTTGGACAACATTGACAAGAGATTCATTTGTTTCGTCGAATTAGAGTCTGGCACATAAGTGTCCCCACTTGCGATAGACAGTGATTGTTTGGTGCATTTTGTGGTTTTAAAATCAATTCTCGGTCAAAGAGCTATTAGTTTGATCTTGAAATGTTAAGAAATTGAGACCTATCATTATCAGAGCTTGCTTAAAATAACAAGGGAAAACCATGCAAGGACTGGAGTATCTGTAGATACTGCATTCCTTCGAAGAAGAGTTAATATCTAGATTTTCTTGACAATGGATACAACTACTAACTCGTTGTTTAGAATTTACAGGATATAATCCTTGTTCTCAATTCCACACACCACTTCCTATACCTCAAAGAGCCTATGAATATGTTCTATCCAACAATAGAGAAAGGTTCCCTTGTAAACTTATATTTCTTTGCAGAAACCCATTTTGTAACCTACACTCACTCGAATGTTAGTGTTTTTTTTCCCTGGGTACTCAATTCTATTGGTTTAGCTCACCAATCACTTCTCAGCTTAAAACTTTTCCAAGCTGTAGATTTTTAGTATATATGGTTACTGTTTTAAAGGATCATGTATTTGGTGGTAGTTTACTAGATTTTGTTGATCCCAATAGTCAGGTGTAGAATGGCCAGAAGGGTAAAGTGTCTTAAATTTGAAATTTTCTGTCCAGTTTAATGTATATCTTCACTGCTTTCAGGAAGCTAATGATCTTTTCTTTTTTTTCATTGGTTGTGGAGGGAGTTGAACCCTTGAGCTATCCTAATCCTAATTCATCACCCACCCTCCTTGATCACTTGGGCTAACCCCAAGTGCTTAATGATCTATTCCATTTCCGTTTATTCTATTGAGAGAATATCCTAGGGTTGTGGCTGGGATTTTAAATAATATTACTTTCCCTTACACTTACAGCTCTACGGGTTCTAGCTTTTTTCTAAGTGATTATCTACATGGTTCTTTCTTTCTTTGTGTTTTTTTTCTTTGTAAAATCCTAAATCAATCCAAAATACATATCCTCCGTATGTGTGTATGTATGTATGTATACCTGAAGGCAGGTCTTAGCTTTCACATATTACTTTCATTGAGCATGGTCTAGGGTCCTGACCAACTTTGTACCTATTGGCAAAAATAACTACTGTTTTTCTGCTACAACTTAATTTATGACGTCATGTATGGTGGTGATATTTCATACAGGAAATGGTGACCGCTCTATTCCAGAAGGTGATGGTGAAAAAAAAAACGATTCTTCAGAAAACTTAAGAGACAGTTCTTCCCAGAAAAATTATCGTATAAACTTGGATTGGAGAGAGTTCAGAGCAAAGCTATATACTGGGTGGCAGGTGATGTTTTACTTTCCTGAAGGGCTAATGTCCTCTGAAACTAAAATGCGTAATCATTGTGTCCTATAGGATACTCATCAGATATAGGAAATTCACTCCTCTCACCTTTTAGTTAATCTTTTTTATTTCAAGGTGATAATGAGCCTTATAGAATTTCCAAACATCTTGGTATTGATTAGTTTACATGTGTTATTTGCCCTCTCAGTTAAATTTGGTTTCTCAGCCATATGACCCATACCGATATTCCTGTTTTTTTAGATAAAGCGAAACTCACTGACACAGACCGACCATATCACAAATATCTTACTACACAAATACACAAAGAAAATCTCCAACTTATTTGAAAATCAGTAAAAGAAATCTGATTGAAAAATCAAGAGAGACAGAGATAGAGAAAGAGAGGAGATATATGGGAGGAGGCTGAAGGGCTGAAGGGGGTATGCAAAGGTAACATGGATGGGCTTGAGTTGACCTTCAGATTTGAGTTTTTACAAATACACAGATAGAAAATCTATGTAGATCAGTTGGTTTTTCCGGGTTTCCAAAATGAAAAATCAACATTTGACCCAACCCATCCACTTTTCATTAACATGGACCATTCACCTGATGGACTGCTTTTCCGTGTTTCTCCTGTTTTCCTTTGATAAACTTTTTTTGGTCTTGTGTTGCTCCCCCCTTATGTATTTCATTGTCTTTACTGTTCTAAGTTGATGATGATGCAGAGCCTTGTAGAAGTGTAAATACCCTAGCATAGATTTCTTTTCTTTTTTTCTTCTTTTTTTCACAACTGGTATTGGTTTGTGGCCTTTTGGTGCATCATTCCATATACATTTAGGGAGTTTCCTTCCGGGAAAGAAACAAGTGATATTCCAAGTGATATTCCTGGAATACCCCCTGATCTAGCATTACGTTGCCTGTGTAAAATTTTCTGGCACTTTCTTAGGATCATATTTATCTGAAGTCTAGCATTTATTTAGTCTAATGGCCAGATCCAAATAGTGTGCTTGTAAGTTATGTTGGTCCTCACAGGATGTTAGTAATTCTAGCATCATTACCAAATAAAATCTCTGATGATCCTCCATAAATTGTCAAGTTTACACTGGAAACTTTCAACAGGGAGAACAAGCGGAATCTGATGCTCAGAACCAAGGTGGGACTCCCTACCAATCGAAACCTCTTGGCCTGAAGTGGGCTCATCCTATTTCTGTACCTGAGACAGGCTGTGTCCTGGTTGCCACAGAAAAGCTTGACGGAGTTCGCACCTTTGAAAGAACTGTTGTTCTTCTCCTCAGATCAGGAACCAGACACCCAGAAGAGGGGCCATTTGGAGTTGTTATCAACAGGCCACTCCACAAAAGGATCAAACACATGAAGCCCACTAATCTTGATCTTGCAACCACATTTTCTGATTGTTCTTTGCATTTTGGTGGGCCTCTCGAGGCAAGCATGTTTTTGTTAAAAACAGCGGGCAAGACAAAGCTTCCTGGGTTTGAAGAAGTGATCCCTGGCCTTTGTTTTGGTGCTCGTAACAGCCTGGATGAAGCTGCTGGGCTAGTAAAGAAGGGTCTTGTTAAGCCCCAGGATTTCAGATTCTTTGTTGGATATGCTGGGTGGCAGCTGGATCAGTTGACAGAGGAGATTGAATCGGATTATTGGTACGTGGCTGCTTGCAGCTCAAATTTGATTTACGGGGCTTCATCAGAGTCTTCGTCAGAAAGTTTGTGGGAAGAAATTTTGCAGCTAATGGGTGGCCAGTATTCTGAATTGAGTCGAAAGCCTAAGCAGCAGGATATGTAGTCTAATTTATGATATCGTTGGTGCTCACTAAACAAAAACTAGTTCTAGAGTTATAAAGCGAGTCGTGCAGTTAATGTATATGTTAAGCCAATTGTACAGAAAGTTTGCTGGCTCTTCAAGTTAGTACATCTTGTTTTATTTCTTCCTTTTTGTTGTTTTTTTCCTTTTCTTTCTCTCAGTTTTCTATTTTCCTTCCCAATAAAGAAGTTGCTATTTGTGTGGTTCTTGTATGCAATGTCTTCTTATCTAGCTCAAGAGATGTACTGCAGAATCTCTTTGACAGTACTGTAAATTGTCTTAGGAATGATACATAAATACAAACTAAAAACCAATTAGAAATTTTTTAAATAGTTTTAATTGGCTTTTTTCTTTTCAAGTCTTTGTTTCATGCATTTAGCTTTCATTTCTTCATCTCCCTCCTCCCCCTCCTTTCTTACATATACTTCCCATGCATTTTAGCTACAAATAATAATGGTAAACTACATTCTAATCACTATGTTAGAAGGCATTTGATTCCGACGTTCAATTTTGTCAATTTGGTTTCATTGTTTTATACCATTAACAGTCCAAGGATAATTATTTTTCTTTTGGGTTACCCTAAGTTCAATTTATGGATTGGTCTTCTCTCTCATCAGCTCCCTAAATGAACGGACTATTTATCAAAAGATACTAGCAAAATATAACGTCCTATAGGTTAGGGTTTTTCTAGCACCGCCAGTCTCACAACCAGGGTTTGTTAGGGTTTTGTCAGCTTTCTTGCTTGCGGTTTACGGCTGTTTTAGAGGGCGTCCTTCCCATTACATGAACGGTGGGAAATACTATAGGAGCCTCGTCCAGTTGTGGTTGTATTGCTGTTTTAGGATTGCGGAGGGAAGCTTCGAGTGGACGATGGCGGTGCCCCATTTTTGTCTCATTATTTGTGGATGTTAATAGGTTGTCTTGTAATGTGGTAAAAAGTGATTTTATCCCTACAGTCTGGTGTCACATTAAAGATATATTTGAGATAACTATTTTGTTAATATTTTTCCCCTTTTAGATAGGGAGGAAAAAATTACATCTTCTAATGCTGCTTTCCACAGCAAGAGTAGCATCGCTGGAGTTGATCATGTTGCCTCAAAAACTGGTAATTATTGCGTACAGACTGTTGACAGATTAGCCGAGTATGCATATCAGTGCGTAAAATCCAGCGTATTCGTAACTTACAAGAAAACTGAATCATGAAGAAAAGAAAATCGATTTCTTACAATGTACATCAACAACATCCGTCCTCTGTACAAGGCGAAAGCCTGAAACCTATAATTGTTGAGTAACCAACAAAAAACCCACAAATCCTTATCGCTTCTCACTTCAGTGGTACAAAAGAATATATCATCCACCCCATACATTGCTTTTCATTTCTGAATATATAACTACGTTCATCTTGGTTCAGCCTCCATGCTAACATTTCTCATTGGCTTTTATAGTTCACTAGCAAACTTGGCAGGTGCAAGTGGCCCTTTTTGGTGAGCAGACAGCATGGTTACAAGAGAGGCAGCAGAATATCGACTGTTCAGGACCACCGATGTCTTCCATGGTTGTTATCAAAGTTCTCTATTTGGTCTGCCCCTGTCAACGTGCCCGTGCTTTACGTACAGCCTGTTGGATTTGCCTCTCATGCTCTTTGAGCATGTCTTCAATGTTTCCTCCTGGGGGCACCAATGGTCCAGAGTAATGGATTCTGTTTTTGGGTACATAGCCCTGAAACCATACAAATAAGGTGGTTCATAATTCAAGAATACCGTTATATCAGAAAACAAGAGTACAAAAAGGAAAAGGAATTTGAAAAGGGCATATGGGCAAAATTACAAAAAAGCTTGCACATTCTTTAGTAATCTATGCCACATTGTGTTAAAATGGTCCTGTCTAATCCCTGATTAGTTGACAACATTCGAAGAAACAAAATCAATTCCTTACCATTCTGGAATCTCTGCTATGCACTCTTTCATCCTTCTTATTGGAAGAAATAAAAAAGTCTGCTCCAGCTTGAGGCTTGTGAGATTTCTGTGTCCTTAGCTCTGACTTATTTAGTGTAGAAACTGTCTTATTCAATGATGATTCTACTGCACTAGGGTGTATCATTGAACTACAATGCGAGTATCCATTCTGCCTAGCTCCTCCAGAAGGTTCCATTGCAAAGCCAGAGACACTGTCTCGTTGGGGCATGTACTTGTGACCTGTGGTTTTCAGGTTTCTCTGTCCCTGCTATATTTATGTTAGCCAAAGTGAAACTCAAAATATCAAGTACAAGAATTAATTAATGAGTACATGTGTTGAGCCATTTATAATACCTGCAAAGATGCATCTCCCTGAGCATTAAACTCTGGCGTTGGCACTGCCTTGGTATCTCTTGAACTTCTTCTAACAGATTCAGTACCACGTCCTTTAAAAGCATCTACTTTTCGCCTGAAATATAATAAGAGATCGAATATGTAAGAGTCGAGGAACTATGACAGCATCACCTTCTGAGAAATGTTATAAAATTTTCTTCTTAAAGGAGATGGATGTTTTTAATTTAAGCTTCACTCAGAAAACATATCTCCGAGCAAAAGCTGTGAGGGATTTGGAACCTAGTAGAGTTATATATCTATAGTGACAGCTTAGTTACTTTCTTCTGTTATAAATCATCATATCACCATCATATATTACAAAAATGGGTTGAGTAAACATATCCAAATTCACACCTGCGTGTCAGTAATCCTAGAAGCTATAATTCTAAGTGCCAAACACAGCCTGCCTCAGGTAAAAATAATTAACAATACTTCTAATACTTCTACTTATTCATTCTCTCCCAATATATTATCAACTTATCAGTTTAGGGAAAGGATAATAAGCGGAAAATAAACTGAGAAGTACAATATTACAACTAAAACTGTGAGAAACTAAAATGAATAAGATTGTTAATATTTTCTTATCTTCAATATCTACATGAGACTCAAAGAAATAGAGGCCACCTAGAGATGTACCTTTTTTCCTCATCCCGAAGCTTGGCATCAAACTCCTTGCTTGGAGGATATTTTGGTAGATTTGATGGATTACAAGGTAGTGGCTGCGTAGTGAAGAACTGAAATAAACATATCCAAATTAAATTAACCATATTCACACTTGAACCACATTCATAAATGATATCAAAAGGATATTGACAGGAGCAATGAACAAAAAATCATTTTCCATGTTTGCAATTTTTTCTTTTTCTTTTTTTCTAAATAATTGGTTAGCTATAACAAGTAATACTCTTTTCTCTTCTTGACTAGAGGTAATATTGGTTGCGTAGGTTTTAATGGAAAAATGAACTATACCAAGGCCTTCTTACAGTTCAAACAATTTCTCCAAAATGTGGTCTACATTGGCGTGTATGATAACCCAGTTAATTATACAATTCGGATATGCATAAGAGAAACAACTTAAATGTATTTCAATAATTTCCTGTCAAGATAAGTGATCCTTATGCCTTTGTCATTTCCCTCAGCTCTTGACAAAGTATAGTTTTTCTGTTACGCAAAGTATGAGAAAAAGTCAGATATGGGACGGAACTTTTTTTCTTAAGTAGCAGAAACCATATCCAATAAGCTAAAGACAATATCTCTTCAATTCTCAGAACTTCATTTAGTCAATAAATTGCTATTCCCAGAACTAAAGACCATTGTTTTCCCATGAAAACACAGAGGACAAGAAATTTCTGGAAACTATAGGAACAATTGCGTGATATAATATTTTCAAGTTGGTGAAACTAACACAAAACCAGAAGATATATAGCATTAAACAGCAGTATGAAGGCATATATGGTTTTAGTATTAAAAGAAGAAACTCAAATTTACCTCACTGCTAAGTGCCGAAGCAGCTGATCCCCGCTTCTCTGGTTCTATCGAAAGGAGTCTATCAATAAGAGCCAAAGATGAAGAAGGTAACTCTTTGAAAGTGTCAGCAATACGACGCTTGTAAGGTTGTTGAGGTTTGAAACTAGTTGCATGTGGTAATTTTGTTTTCTTCCAGAAGTCCTCAGACGGTGAACCACAAAGCTTAAAAATCTTATGCATTTGTTCCACCTGAAAATTAACAAATATTAACTGCCACTTAATATAACAGATTTGATTTTACAACTATTACTAAATTTATGTAAGTTAAATAAAAACTCAAGAGAAAGTTCAGTTAATGTGTTACAGATAATTTGTATGCACAAATATATAAAACTAGAAGATATGAAACTTGTTGATAACTTATTCTTGAAGAAAACCCATGCAGAATAAATTGACTGCTCTATAAGTTTTGGCAATTTTTATCATAAACCAAGCAAACAAAAGGAGAAGAGTAACTCATGAACTAGGAATGTAAACATAACTCATCATTACAAATTGTCATTAGATTTATAGGAATAACTCCTTTACCTCTGTTCTACCAGGCATGATAGGCTTTCCAGCATACATTTCCGCAAGGATACAGCCAGTGCTCCACAGGTCTATAGCATCTCCATATGCAGTGGCACCAAGCAAAAGCTCAGGTGCCCTAAACCACAGAGTTACAACACGACTAGTTAATGGCTCCTTTTGACCAGGCTCATAAAAGGTAGCCAGACCAAAGTCACCAATCTTAAGGACTCCGTCATTGTCAAGCAGAAGATTTGAACCCTTGATATCTCGGTGCAGGACACCTCGACTATGACAGTGTTCAAGTCCAAGAAGCAACTGTTGCATATAACATTTAATCTGCAATTCCATCACATGAATTATAATTTAACAATATTTTGTTGCAAACAAGTATTCTTCAGTTTTAAAATAACAGTAAAAGCAGAGACAAAATGGCATTTCAACGGAAGAAAAAGGAGAGTACAGACAACATAACAAGTGCACGGAAAATCCAAACATTAGTATTGCTTGAAATAGTATTCCTTTGACGGAAAATTGGACGGAACTGACTTCGAGGATGACATTGATGTGCGACATGAGAGGATGGGGATGACATTGATCGACTTGAAAGAATAAGGACGAAAATGATATGTCTGAAATGGTACAGGGACTACTCAAGATAAGAAGCCGAAGTAAATAAATAGACAGACGAGAAAGGTACAAGAGAAGAAGGGGCTCCATCTCTTGATTTCACTGAAATATTTCCCAGGAAGGAAATAGAAAATGAATTTGATTGTTTCTCTGTTTGGTTACAGAATTTGATCATTTCAATCTTTAACATTAAAAAAAGAATTCATCATACTCAATTAGTACTTAATTCATAGGTAAAACATGTCAAACCATACGACCTGATTCATTAAACAAATAATGGCCACAATGAAAATCTTTAAATGTTTGAAAGCAAAACAAAAGTGCGTACCTGAGCTTCTGTAAACTTGTTGCCGCGTATTGCTGCAAGACCAGAAAGGTCATGCTCCATATACTCGAAGACAAGATATAAACTGCATGACACTCTTGAAGTGACTAGCCCTTCGAGTTTCATAACATTTGGATGATCAAGTCTTCGTAAAATATGGATTTCTCTAGCCATAAAGCGAACACTTTCCGGGTCCATATTTACAAATCGTACTTTCTTCAGTGCAACAATTTTACCAGTTTCCAGGTCACGAGCCTTGTATACACTGCTATAAGTTCCTTGTCCAATCTGCAAAGAAAACATTCATTGGAAATGTTAAACATAAGATGGCTGAATTAATAGTCAACGGGACAGCTATTTCACCCTAAGACAAAAATTCTGCCTACACATACAAACGAAATCTGACATAAATAATGTACATACTTCCCAAATACATAGACGGTAATTTTATATCAAATGTAAAATACAAAACTACAAATATAGACACACAAAGATGCACTTGATGCTGTTCTATCTTAAACATTCAGACCATGCTGAAATCCATTTACCAGTCATTAACATTATCTTTGAAATCACATAACATTTCATGACATAGAAACCACAACAGAATTGAAGCAGGCATTTATAGCACTAAATAAAAGGCAATTAGAGAAGCAACAATTAGAACTAACTTTGTCTAACTTCTCAAACGAGTCTGCCCGTCGAGGCACCCACCCTTTGATGGCATCTCCTGCAACCGAAGTTAGCCATGATGGCCATCCAGCAGCAGTTTGTTCTCCTTCTGCACCATGTGGCATGCTCACTATCCTAGACATCACCGTTTGCTTTTCACTTGCTTCCATATCCATTGTTGCCCATCTTTGATGATTAGAATTCCCAGGTTTTGAGATGACTTGGGTCTTATTAGGATCTTCATCATTAGCAGCATTGCTTCTCCTATTGGCTCTTGAGGCCGTGTTTGATAACAAGCGCACTGACCCATCAGCACCACCACCACCACCACCAAGACCACTTACTTCGGCTACAAAGTCATCTCTCAATGATGGGGTAGGAGCAACCAATTGAACCGAATAATCCTTCAAAGGGTGTTCTACCGTGTCAGAATCCTCCACCTTTTCCTGTTCTGAGGCTCCTTTTGAACAAATGCAGCCCATATTTTTTTGCACCTCCCAAAATCCCCTGTTTCCAATGCTTCCAAACTAATCACCCCTTTTGCAAAATATATGAGTGAGATCATTAATCAAATATGTTGCCTGCATTACCGGGGAAACCCAAGAGTTTCCCTTCAATCCATCATTTTTCCTCCAATTCTCAATCTGGGTATCTCTTTCCACCCAATAAATAACCTGAATTCACATAGCTAAAGCCTTTGATGATTATTGACCCTTACCCAGATACCCAAATTCCATGGAAATTCAGAATCCGGGAAATGTGAAAGGAAAGGCAGAAAGAAACCTCTATATATCAAAGAATGTGGCAGAAACCAGAAGGTGTGGAAAATCCAATCTCAAAACCCAAATGTCAAAACTTTAATGTATAGGAGGAAATACAGATAAATTTATATATACCCAAAAGAGATAGGAGACCCAAAAACCAGACCAGAAATCCCTGCACCTGAAAATTAAGAAATGAAGTGCCCGTGGATTGCAGGAGTTCTGGCTGGGCTGCCTGGCGTTTCTGGGCTTGCAGATTTTTCTGTTTGTTTTTTCTAATTATCGATTAATATCCTATAAAAATAATAAAAATTAAACTGCCTTTGGTTTGTTGATTGTGAAACCAGGAAGTAGGAACGGGAGGGGGGAGAGGACATGAATGGAAAATCCAAAAAAATTAAAAAAGAAAAGAAAAGAAAAAAACAGAGGAAAAAAAAAAAGAGGGTAACGTAGTGTGTTGTGATTTGGAGGTTGGCAGAGAGAGATAGAGATTTGCGGGCGTACATGGCCCCGAGAAACGCGAGGGACCGAAGGTTTTGAGGACTTGACAGGAAGGAAACTCTTGACTCTGACTCTGACTCTGACTCTCTGTTTCTGTTTTGGAAGAGAGAGAGAGTTGCAAAGAAGAAGAAGCATCCATTCAGATAGGTTGAGCTGAGAAGAAGAGAGTGATGGAGGAGTGAGTGGATTTTGGTTTTTGCTTTGCTTGCATTGCATGCTGTATATCAGGACGTGCGTCGCAATGTCTTTGTAGCTTCCACCTACTACATGCCACGTGGCCAAAAAATTTATAATAACAATTTTTTCCTCTTGACATGCATTGCATGTATCTAGGCCAGCATTTCTAAATTTCAAAAGGTGTCATGTCGAGGTGGAATTTCAAACCGCCAAACCGATCGAATCGACCGAATTCTTGCACCAAATTCGAATGCTAGTGCCTAGGGGTTTTCGAACCCCTAATTTAGTACATCCGTCAAATTATGTGAATTTTTCCGTCTATTTGAAGGATAACAATGTTAAATTGGATTTGTATATAATTATTCTCTAAAAGTCAACAGTAAATGCTACGGAATGACTAATTTGAAACACTACGAGAGTTCGAGGACCAAAATGACTAAAAAACGAGTTTAAGGTGCTACATTCTGCTCTGCCACTCCTCTTAGCACTTTGCCCCATCCTTATTGAAGCTCAACTTGAGGTACTGCTGCCATCCATCAGTTCTTCTCAACTTGAGTTCAAGGGATGTGAATTAATGTAGCAAACCAATTCCAGAATTCCCAAAAGAGTGTAGTTCATAATTTTTTTTTACTTTTGTTGACTTTTCAAATGCAGTCAAAATTAATTATGAAGTTAATCAAACAGAATTTTTTATCTCAGACATCAGCATCTCCTTTAGTAGACAAACATATATATGTTTTGGTTGGGATCAGTTTGCTGTGTTTGTAGCCGGCACAACCACTTCGTTGTCAAAGTCGCCTACTATCCACAAGTGTAGAAAGAGGTACTAGCAAAAATTTCACATAGGAATAAACTAAATTTGCTGTTGTTGTTGATACTTGGGGACAAGGCAATTACAACCATAGTCAACGCAATTTTTTGGTGTTGTTTTTTGTTGTTGTTTAGGCTAAGGATCAAAACGGCACTAACTTATTGTTACATTTGTTTTTCTGCCTAAGCCTTAGTACTTACACATTTTCTAATTTCCTAATGAAATCTTAATTGATATAAATCTTGTCATTGCATGTCCTACAATTAATATATTTTCTACTACCTCCCTGCTTTCCTCCATGTGTACAATGGCGTCTAGTAATAATGTCCAAACATCCGCATAAGAGAATAATTGTATATATAAAAAAACAATTATGTAAAGTAAATTGTGAACAATGTTTTTGTACCTCGCATGCTTGAATTTAGTTCTATCAAGAATTCAGAGGCGATATATAAGTATGAAACAGTGAAGAGGATATTGTATCACAAAGAAGCTTCAACTGTGGGCATCCCTGAAATAACTTTAGCTATGAAGAGCTCAGAGGAGAAAACTTTTTTCCTGAGGTTATTAGTTTCTCACTCTCTAAGACTATTTGTCTTCTTTTGAATTTATTTTGTATCAAGTATCTGACTTTACCATTTGAAAAGCCAAACATCTAATTATTTTCTTGACGGTTGTAAGATTAAGATGCAACATGTTTGTGATCACAATGAAAATATATATATATGATCAAAATATTAAAAATTTTGAATTTTGGGTATGTCTTCTTCAGGATTTATCCAGAACCTGCTCTGACTTTAGAGGCTGCAAATGGAAAATCTGCCATGAAATATGGAGAACCTTGTGAAAAATGGCCAAATTTAATGAAAGAAATTCTTGATCCACAAGGGTCGTTCCTTCCAATGTGGAACAAGTTATTTATAATATCATGTGTTTTTGCAGTCTCACTGGATCCTTTGTTCTTTTACATTCCTATCATCCATGAAGATCGCAAGTGCCTTGGATTGGACCAAAATTTGAAGAAAGCTGCTCTTATTTTACGATCAATCACCGACCTATCTTATATAGTGCACATTATTTTTAAAATTAGAACACTAGTTAAAGAAGTTGACACATCTGGGGCCTCTGAGGCATCCAAAGTAGTTTCTTCAAAAGGAAAGAAACTAGTTAAGGATGGTTTGGTTATAGCAAAGAAGATTTGGCGATCCTGCATCCTGATTGACATTTTATCTGTTCTTCCCCTTCCTCAGGTAAGAGAAGCCTTAAATTGTAGTATTTGCTGCATGGAGGCTGCAGATTATGACAAGAACAAAGAAATTGTTGACCAAATGTGATACATTTTAGATTATATACGTACCTTAATTGATTGAACATGTATCACAACTAACCTGTTGGCTTAAACTACTGTCACATGTGCAGGTTGTAATTTTAATTCTCTTTTCGAAAATGAGGGTCTCGAGGTCTTTGGATTCAAGGAAGTTCCTGAGCTCTCTTGTTTTGTTGCAATATGTTCCCCGGGTTCTTTGCATCTACCTATCGTGTAAGAAGCTTAACAAGAATCCTAGCGTGGAGACTGGAATATGGGTTAAAGGTTTATTCAATTTCTTTCTCTATATCCTTGCTAGTCATGTAAGTTTCAGTCTTGTTTCCTAAAATTTGCCTTAAAGTAATATTTATTAAGAACCCTAAATCTTTGCAGTTACATTGTTTCCCTCCTCTCCCCAATTTTCTGAACTTTCTATAACTAAAGTTCTGTGGTCAATTAGGTACTCGGAGCCTTTTGGTACTTTTTTTCTATTCAACGAGAAACAGCTTGCTGGCAGCACGCTTGTGGAAGAGATGGATGTGAACCTGGTACTTTTTATTGTAATGGCGATACATCTAGAGACGTAACATCTAGAGTAACATTTCTGAATAAATTTTGCCCTGTAAACCCACCAAATGCAACAACATTTGATTTTGGTATATTTCTTGAGGCCATTCAGTCTGATGTGTTGTTGGGGTCAAAGGATTATCTAGATAAGTTCTTGAATTGTTTCTGGTGGGGTTTACGGAATCTAAGGTATGCATAAAATTTATCCGAACAGAATTTTCTTACCTGGTTTGTTGGGGCTGTATATATATATATTTTTCATTGTTGCAGTTCTCTTGGTCAAAATCTCCAGACCAGTACCTATGCATGGGAAAACCTCTTTGCGGTGTCTATTTCTATAATTGGCTTGCTACTATTCTTATATCTCATTGGAAATTTACAGGTTGGTGTTTGGAATAAATCTCTGTTGTAAACTTTTTCTTTGGGGTTAAAATTTTTTCTCTATTGGATGATCAGTCTCAGCATTAATGGTGTTGACATGAACATGAACTAAAGAATTACCTTTCTTTGTTGCGAAACAGACCTATATGCAGTTGTCAACTACAAGATCAGAGAAGCTTAGACGGAAGATGAAAATGAAAGATCTCGATATAGAATTATGGTTATCTAAAAATGGCCTCCCGAAGGAAATGAAGACGGTGATCATGGAAAACTTACTACGAAAGCTTGAAGAAAACAAAGATGTTCATGTGGAGAATATGCTCTCTATTCTTCCTTTGGAACATAAAAACAATATCAAGTACCATCTCTGCTTGGCTATCCTAAAGAAAGTAAGTTATACACTCCTCTATATCAGAAAATTCAGTGCCTCTAACTGATAATCTAAACCAACCATGTTACTAGTTTTTTAACATTTTGAACAACCATTGAGACTTCGTTCAACATCGGCAAGAGAAGTATCACTTGACTAAGAGTTGGTAATCATGTCAGTAGAAGTCAAAAAAAAAATTTATTCGAGTATATATAATAATCATGTTCCTAGTCATTTGATTATTATCTATACATGCACGTATAGGTGCCAATGCTTCAAACGGTGGATGAACAAGTGTTGAAAGTAATCTGTGAGAATCTTAAGCCAGTCATGTATACTGAGGACATCCATATTATTCGAGAAGGGGAACCACTTGATAAGATGCTCTTCATCACGCAAGGCATTGTATGGGACTACACATCTAGTACGAGTAGTGGTTCTCCCTCAAGCACTCGTCTTCTTGGGAAAAATGATTTCTATGGGGAAGAACTTTTAGATTGGGCATCAAAGTTTACCTCCTTTTCCGACTTACCCATCTCGACCAGAATTGTCAAGTCTCACACAAAAGTAGAAGCATTTGCTCTCATGGCCAACGACTTGAAGACCGTTGTCTCTAAGTTTTGGTGGCATTTCAACAAGGAGATGCGAAACTCTCAAGAGGAGTTATTGGCAGCAACTTCCATTCAAGCGACATGGCGTCATGGCCAAGCAAAGGGGGGGTCAGCTGTGAATCCTCCCCCGTTAATCCACGAAGGTGGGAAATCAGAAAGTTTTAGTACCCCGTTCTAGTTTAACTTTAGCGCCTCGCACGTCCAATACTTTTTGTTCTTTGATTCAACAAGAAGTTTAGCCTCATATTGATATTGTTGTTCTTCTGAAAATAATCCCCATATTGATATTGTTGTGTTGTGAAATTAATCCCTTTTAGATTTGGGTAAGAGAAATCAGTTGTGAAGGAAGTTCGTCGTTTGTCATTTAGTAAACTATATGGTTTCTAGAGAGCCTCAGTTGATCCAACAAGAAAATTTGATGAAAAAATGGAAGACATAACTTATGAGATGTTTTACTCATCATATACAGAACAACTACATTAAGAGTGGAATTCAAGATCCCATATATAAAGTTCCACAATCCAAGTAAAGAATTTTGTATCTATATTTTTTAAATCAATTGCCAAACACCCACAGATAGGCAACACAAAGGGACGTGCAGGTGTTAATGATAAACGGCCTACAGTCAAACATTTGTTCAAGAAGGATCATAGTTCATGTTTTATAGTTCTACTTACCTGAAGCCAATTAGCAACTGCTGTCGCATTTGGCATAGTTGCACTCATCCCAACAATTTGCAGACCATGAACAGGGTCAGCGTTACAACTGCTCATACCTGAACTTTCTCCACTACTTGATTCAGAATTGCTTTCACCAGCTGCGTAACGAAGTTTTGTCAACAAAAGTTCCAGAAGATAACCCAAACTTGGATCGCCAACCTGTTAATAGTTATAAGAATTGAAGGCATTCAAATAAGTCCACCCAAAAAGCAATTACCAAACGAAAACTAAGCAAACTGAAAAAGAAAAAAGGCCCATGAAGGAAAAATAATAAACTTAAAACAATGCAAAATAGGCTAGTTATACTATGCAATTAGCTATTCCTAAGAAAATTTTATTCCAATGAAAATTAAAGTTAAAAAAAAATGAAAATTAATTACTATTTATTAAGTAATATAATTTATGGAGTTAATTAAATTCATTAATATTAATTACTCAATAAACAAATAATAATTAAAACATAATTACTAATGAAAATAATTAAATCAGGCTAAGATATTATTTAATTACAAAAAAGAAAATAAAAATACTATTTATTGACTTAAAGAAATTAATTTTATATTTTTTAAAAAATGATAAACTTTTGAATTTTAAATAGTATAGCCGGGCGGCTAATTTATTTTAAGAGTCTAGCCGCCCGGCTATATTTGGTGAATATTTTACAGGATGATAGTATAGCCGCCCGGCGATACTATTTAATATTCAAATTTATTAAAAGCGTATAGGCGGACGGCGATACTTGTTAAATATTTTAATATATAAATAGTATAGCCGTTCGGCTATACAGTGTAAATATTTGAATTTATGAACAGCGTATAGCCGTCCGGCCGTCCGGCTATATGGTTAAAATATTTTAATATATGCAGAGAATAAAGCCGCGCGGCTATACTCTTTAAATATTCGATTTTATTAAAAGCTTATAGCCGCACGGCAATTCCCTTAAAATATTTTGGCAAAAAATCACTTTTGGTCCCTGTAGTTTGCCACTTTAACCACTTTATTCTCTGTAGTTTTAATTTAATCAATTTTGTCCCTACACTTTCAATTTCAAACAATTTAAGGACAAAAGTGAGTTTCTGGCAAATGTATGAAACCTCTGTTAGTTTTTGGTGACGTGCCCCTCACGTTGAGGGGCAATTTTGTCCAATCGTGCGCAGCTTAAGGTCTCCCTCCATTCGATTTTGGGGATTTCTAGGTTAGGGTTCTTCAAAAATTTTGAGTGAGGGCAAGGAGAGGGTGAGAAATTCCATCAACGAGTTCGGCTTCGTCTTCTCAACTCTCGTCGTCGGCTCTATACTCAAATTCACTCTGATGTATTTGTTAGCACCTACTTTGTCTGCTTCAGCTGCCACTCTTCCTTCGATCTTCACCAATTGCCCGGCTAGCCACATGTTCGAATCAGTCTTCACAACTGTTTGGTTCGCTGCTGGGCCCGTTGGACTCGTTGTCAAATGGGTTGATTAAACTGAGGAAGAAGGTTGCGGGTGTGATTTGGTCCCCTTTGGCTTTGTGGATGGATGTTTTCAGTTTTTGGTTTTTGTGTTTGTGTGCCATTAATGTTTCCTTTGGTGTTGGCTGGTGTTTGTTCGTGCTTTTGGGCTTGGTTGGTTATTGAATGAAACCAAAACAAAAACTGAGGAAGAAAATGGATATGAATTTTGGAGGGTTTGTGGTGTTGGCGAGGTTGAGATTGCAGAGCAATAAGTCGACTTACAACTGATTTGGTTCTTGTTGTTTTATGTCTTGCTATCATTTTTTATCATAACTTTGAACTCTGAAGAGTGGGCGGGGTTTTGGAGCAACAATAAGAAGAAAATCCTATGAATTGAACCAGTTCTAAACCTAGAAATCAAAATTTTTGACGAACCCAACCCAGAAAATCCCTGAGTCTAATCTGGAATGGAGGGAGAGTAGCCAGGCAGACCTTAAGTTGCGCTTGATTGGACAAAATTGCCCCTCCACGTGAGGGGCACGTGACAAAAAACCAACAGAAGTTACATACATTTGACAGAAACTCACCTTGCTCGAAATTGAAAGTACAAGGACTAAAGTGGTTAAAGTGGCAAACTACAGGGACCAAAAGTGACTTTTTGTCAAATATTTTAATATATTCAAAGAGTGAGAGTATAGCCGCGCGGCTATATTCTCAGTAAATGTATACATATGCATACATTCCTTGTTTATGTATTTTAAGTTGTAATAAAAGAAAATATGAAAAGCATTACAGAGGAATTCTTTTTAAGCAAACATACTTCTGATACAATAAGAACAATTACGCAAACATGTATAACACACTCTCGTCTACTTATCAGAAATGAGAAAACAGAAAAACAAACGACTACTCTGTCACATCCTTCACCTGAGCAGGAGAATTATTGAAAAACGAAGAGAACATGTTGAAAGCACTCTATTCATATCAATCTTAAGATCAGATATGCTCTTTATGGAATTTATTAAGCTGATCGAAAGAGTTTATTACATGAACTACTGAATTCAATAACTTTGTTCCTACTCTCTAAAATCTCCGTGACGGCTAAAGAACACAAGTTGAACAAACTGAATATCCAGAGAGAGGCTGACAACATGGCTATTTTCCCTGAAATGTTATGAAGTTCATTCCATTTTAAGCTGCTGGGGACTCTGGGGGGCGAATGTGTTGGGAAGTTTCCTAGGAGGCGAGCCTTCGAACAAAGGCCTTCCATACCCTTCTGAAATAGGCCTCCCAGTGCCAACAAGGGAAGTCCTCCTTCCGCCATGTGTTGGAAGAATCAGGCGGAACGTCCAATTGAGAACCTTCGGTGCAAACACCCGGTAAAGCAGGAAGATGTCATACCAGCTCGGATACTTAACATACGCATCCCCTCGACAAGCCCCAGCTACAATCAATCTTGCAAAATCGTCCACAGGCCCACCGGTCACATGTACCTACGACAATACAAATATATCTGTCATCATACATGATACCATAGTAAAAGTACTGTTTCTTTAATTAGCAGGTCTGCTCCTGGAATTAAAACTAGCTAGTCCAATTTAATGGTGTGTACTTCATTGAGCCAACATAATGAAATATCAAAGCCATAAACTAACAGCTTACCTCCCTTTCTTCTTTCCATTGCATTTCGGCACCCTCCTCTACCATGAACTTGCCTCTTGTCAGTTCACTCCCTATCCATCCATGAGTTGCAATTGTTATCCCTACCTCATGGTCTACTTCTAATCTGAGTGTCTCATAAAAGTTTACCAGAGCTGCCTTTGCTGCCTAGTGATCATTCAAAGCACAACAAAAGGACACTAAATTAGTTTCACAGAAAGCATTTGATGGGTTACTATAGTACGTATCACATGCACTTTTTTATTTATTCTAATTTGACAGTGAATACGATGTTTGATATTTTTGACTCAATAATCATATCTCTAGCAATATGTGGAGAAAAAAACTTATTCAACTTTCCCACACCAACATGCAATGCCTGATTTATTAATGCATACTCACTGCATACAAACTCATTCTCGGCAGAGGTAACCAGCTCTCAACTGATGCATTAACAATGATCTTTCCATTGGTTTGACGTAGGTGAGGAAGAGCAACATATGTTGGATAAACATTCCCCCAGAAATTTATATCCTGAGAGCAATAAAGACATTCAAAACCGCAATAAACTAAACAATTTGTATTAAAAAATTTAACACAAATTTGTGGAGTTCTGTGCATTCAGTTTTGCAATCCTTACCAACAAATGGGGAAAGACAGTGGTGTCTGTAACTTCCTCGAAGTAGAACGTATGTCCTAAACTTACGGTGTTTACCAGATGATCCACTGCAAAATTGGACACAAATTTAAAGGGTTGAAACAGCAAAATGATGATTTTTTTTTAAAATGCGATTCTACCTGGATGACATTTACTTTCAGAACAGACAAGCATGAATGCACTAGACCTTTCTGAGAAATTTATAACTTGATCATAAAGATTGAAAGAGACAAAATTGACTGCCAAGAAGACTCTGAGTGCATTTGTTTCACAAGCTGAACTATGCAATATTATATTTGCAGTTTCCAACAATTCAATCCAATCCTATTCCTATATAACTTAACCGAGAAAACTGATCCTTGAATTAATCATGCTCAGTAGAGTAGTTTATCTTGCTAGTGATGATCAGCTGCTGTATTATTTAGTACAGCAGTTGCAGCAGCCATGGCTGCTAGAAAACCACAACTGCTATTGAATCAACTGTGTTTACCTTGTGCTTAACACATAAAATTTACCAATGGACGTTGGATAGCCAGAAGTATATCTATACAGTTGCTGCCTTTGGATATACAAATGTAATATACAATCCCTAGTGCACCACAAAATTAATTAAGTGTTTACCGGTATCCCATAAGGCTCCATAACTGATTCTATCTTAGTGGAATTCTATCTTAATTGCTCGTTGTGTGACTGTAACTTTCGTAGTTGTA